ATGTCCATTCCTATCCCCATTCCCGGGCACGCTCCAGTACCTCCAGACCCTTCCTGCTCCGCGCCCGCCGGCCCGGCTGAGCCGCATCCTCCTCACGGGAATTCCAGGGCATCGACTGCGACTCCTGCGGGACAGACGCGGCTGTAGGAGCCACCGCCGCCCGTCCCCGCATCCCGCCCTCCCGGGTCCCRGCGCTGCCGGCTCACCTCGCTCAGCACGGAGAAGCAGCCGGAGCAGGGTCTGTGCGGCCGCCGCCRGCCCTGCGGAGGGAAGGGTTGGATCGGGATCTGCCAGAGCCCGGCGCTGGGAATGCGGGCGGGACAGGGAGCAGCCCCTGGAGCGGGAGTTGGTGGGAACGCGGTGACCCGCCGTGTCCTCCCCGCTCCCGCCTCGCCATCCCCGTGGAATCCTCTCCCTTTGGGTGCGAGTGGCCGGCGCCGCGCCGGGGAGCCGGGAATGCCGAGCTCATCCTCGCCGGGACGGGAGAGCTGCAATAGCTGCCCCCGGCGATTTGTTCGGGGCTCTCGGGCAGGGTGTGGTGCCGGAGCAGCCCTGGGCACCGGGCCGGGGGCACGGATCGCTTCCCGCGGTGCCGGAGCCGTGCCGAGCCGTGCCGGTCCCCCTCCCCCGGGGCTCCCGTGTTCCCGGCCCCGTTATTCCCAGCTTTACCCCTCTCCATACACAACCCACCTCTCTYCCGCGTGCCACCATCCTGGAGTCGCCGTGCTCGGCTCCGGCTCCGGCCCCAGCGCCAGCTCCGGCCACGGCCACGGYGGCGGTGACAGCGCAGAGCAGCCACAGCCTCATGGTGTCACTCGGGCCGTCCCGGCTGTCCCCAGCCGCGGGTGCTGCCCCGCCTGGACCTTGGCCCCTGATGTCACCACGGTGACCCCGGAAAGGTCGGAGCCAGAGCTGCCGGACGCAGGGAGAGGAAGGGGCCAGTTCTGGACAGGAGRTGGACTGGAGGAAACAGCTCCCCAAAACTGTGACTTGGGGGTCCTGCTCTTCCCCCACCTCTCCCATGGAGTTGTGGAATCCTGGAATGGCCGGGGCTGGAAGGGAATTTAAGGATCATCCAGTCTTTATCACCAGCAGTTCTGGATCCTGTCCTGATTCTGGTCCAATAAACCCCACAATTCCAGATTCTGGGATTGTTACTAAAGCAAACCAGACTCAGTGCATCCATTTAGGGATGARTGATTAGTCCTGGCTACTCCTGATTCCTGGGGATCCCTAGGATATGATGGAATTTGATTTATTCCAAATTCCTGGCTTTCAGTGGCACCAATATGAAGGGTCCAGGCACTGCAGAGGAATTCCATACGGAATTTCATAGCATAGACTGAGACTAATTGCACAACGTTGGTGGGAATTAAAGAGGAGCTGCACACGGGTGATGCAGAATCGTTGGGAAGTTCAGCCAAGAAAATGGGGAAATCCAGAGAATGGTTATCCAGGAACCAGCGGGGAAGGATGCGAGAGCAGCGGGAAACACTTGGGCCCCAAGGAAGGCCTCAGGGAAGGCCATGGAAAAACCCAGAGTCTTATAAAACCTGAGATAATTTGTCATAGAAAGCCTGAGAATTCTCCTGATAATTTTGGGATTTCAGGAGAATCAAAGCCTTTGGAGGCCAAGCGGGATGAGAGCGGGTTGGATCCAGCTGGGGGCGGGCTCTGCTCCCAGGGAACAGCGACAACACGAAAGGAAACGGCCTCGGGGGAGGCTCCGGTTGGATACCAGGAAAATTCCCGACGGAAAGGGGTGCCGGGCCCCAGCACAGCTGCCCGGGKCAGGGCCGCRGTGCCCGTTCCCAGCGGGATTTAAACCCCACGGATCCGGGTCCGGGGCACMCKCGGGGTCACCGCGGTACTTCCGGGGTCACCRSGGYRCTTCCGGGGCCACCGCGGCGCTTCCGGGGCGCTCGGCCCGGCACTTCCGGGTCCGCCATGGCAGCGCTTCCGGTGAGGGCGGGGCCTGTACCGGAAGCGCGTGCAGGAGAAGCCGCGGAGCCCCGGGAGGCGGCGGTAGCGCCCCGACACTTCCCGGACCCCCCCCGAGACCCCCGGGCCTCCCCGGTCGCCATGGCGKGGCAGGCGCAGGTAGGAGCCGGGCGCTGGCGGGGGCAGCCCCAATACGCCCTCGCCGCCGCCCGGGCCCTCGATGTTCACCCCCACCGAGCCTACCCGAGGCTCGGGTAGCGCAGGGTCCCGCAGCGTCTCCTCGGCAGCTTCTGGCGAGGCTGGGCCTCCAATTGCCACGGACCCCCCACCCCCATCATCCCMCATCAGCCTCCAGCCCCACCCCGAACACCCAAATCATCCCTCCAAATCACCCCCTTTCACACCTCTGAGCCCACACCCCATCTCCCTACACCCCCATAAAATTCCTCCCTGCAGACCCCCATGACCCCCCCCAACTCTGCCTATCCCTCCCCACCACATCAGTCTCCCCAAAATCTCCATCACCTCCCAAAACCCCCCATCCCATCCCCCCAATCCCATCCCCAACACCCCCCACAATTCCTGCCTCCCATCCCACCCCTGCCTTTCTCTGATCTCTCCTTCTCCCCTCCCCACTGGCATCGATCCTGAGGTATTTCCTGGGATGGGCCCACAGGGGGCTGCTGGGAAAATCTCCTCCAGTTCCATCCCAATCCCATGGGGATGATGGAGTGCTCCCAGTGGGAATGGTAAAACCCGATTCCGGTGTTTGGTGCTGGATCCCAGTCTCTCCTTCTCCCAGATCCATAATTCCCCCCAGTGGGGAACACGCCTTCCTGAGATAGTCCCATCCATGGTCTCACATCCTGGGAGCTCCCCTGGACAGGAGAAGGCTTCTCTGTGGGAGAGAGGGTGTGATCCCTGTTGGAAACCGTGGTCCCTGAGCAGGATGTTCTCCCTGATCYGTGGCAGGAGCTGGTGACCTTCGAGGACGTGGCGGTGCTCCTGAGCCGGGAGGAGTGGGACACGCTGGCACCGGGGCAGCGGGAGCTGTACCGGAACGTCATGGCTGACACCTACGAGCTCCTGACCTCCCTGGGTAATCCTGGGGATCACTCGGGCAGGGCTTCCCTTGGGCCCCACCCCAGAGGGGCCGTGCAGTTCYCAGAGCACTGAATCCCAGAATCCCAGAGTGGCTGAAGTTGGAAAAGGCCTTGGAGGTGCCCGAGTCCAAGTGTTCCCCAGCACTGCTCAGGCCATCCATGTCCCCAAGTGCCACACCCACAGGGCTTTCCAATCCCTCCAGGGCTGGACAACCCTTTCCWTTAGGGGATTCCCTAACAGTGGGGCTGATCAGGGAGTTCAGTGCTGGAAAGGGCAGGATGTGGCTCTGAGTTTAAGCACCTCTGGAAATGTTTCCCTGAGTTCAGGCAACATGGTGGGATGTCCCAGCCCCAGGAGCTGCTTCTGGGATGAGCAGGGATGACATTCCCTCGCTGGGAAAGCCCATTAGTGGAGCTGGGATCTGGTTCCCACACTTCCAGCAGGGCTCTGCCTTCGTTCTTGGGAATAAATCCCTCCCTGGTAGCAGCTCCGGTGCCTCCCTTGCTTTTCCCACATGCTAGAGGTGTTTCCATGTGCGGTGAGGCACAGCCAGGGTGTCCCAGTCTTTGGTTTTCCCATGAGCAGGGGTAGCACAATGCCCTCTGTCCCATTCCCAGGTTATGCAGGCCCCAAACCCGACATCCTGCACCGGCTGGAGCGCGGGGAAGAGCCATGGATCTGCCCATCGCCAGGTGAGCAGCAACATCCCGACCTGCAGGGTGCAATTCACCTCCAGGGTGGGGTCGGGCCTCCCTCTTCCATCCCTGTGGCCGTGGAGAAGTCAGGATTCCTGGTGGGGACAAGGACAGGGCTCCTTCCTTCGTTCCCATAGCCATGGAGAGTCAGGATTCTCAGCCTGGCCGGTGCCATCCGCTGTTTTCCCTGCAGGACACGTTGGGAGCTGGCTGGAGGAGTCTCCCTCTGGCTGGTGGCCCAGACCCAGCAAGTGCCAGGGGCCGGAGCCCTCATGTCCAGGTGAGTCCTGCTCCCTCCTGCTCCAGCCCCATCCCTGCACCACTCCCAGCCCTTCTCCTGCTGCTGGGCTCTCCTGACATCTGGCAGAAGTTGGGATGTGAAGCCTGGGTGGTCAGAAGAGGTGTTCCTCCCCCTGCTCCAGCAGGAAGGACCTGACCCCTTCCCATCTTCTCCTGGCAGGACAGAGCACATCATGGGGTCTCCAGGCCAGCAGGCTCCTGAAGAAGTTCGGCTGTCTCGAGGGATGGAGCCAATTCCCGATGGGAGGGGACAGCGGACCGGGAAGCCAGGCCCTGCCATGGCTTGTGAAGGAGGAAGTGGAGGACAACTCTGGACCGGTGGAAAACCTAATCCAGAGTGGGACATTCCCGATTCATTCTGTGCCAGAGCAGCAGGACATGGATACTTGGGGGCAGCTGTGGGATGAGCCCAGGGAGAGCCATCACGGGAATATCCAAAGCCATGGCCCGGGAGAGGCGCCGGGGAGCTACAAGCTGAGGGTGGAGGAGCTGAGGGTGGCCGCGGCCAAGGACCACAGCTACTGCCTGCGGAGCGAGCCGAGCGCGCCCGGCGCCCCCAAGGTGTGCCCCCCGCGGGAGCACAACTACAGCAGCGCCACCGAGAGCCGTGGACTGCGCCGGGGCAGGGCCTTCTGGACTGTGCGCCGCCGGCTGCTGCGGCAGCAATCTCACCTCGGCGCCATGTTCCGCAAGTCCAGGGAGATCCTGCGGCGCTACCGGCCCTACGGGAGCCGGGGCTTTCCATGGAGGGGCTGTGCCGTGTGCCGCGCTCGCGCGCCAGGGAAGCACCCCGGGGTTTGTCCTCCCGCGGCCGCGGCCGCGCCGGGTGATACCGGGAGYGCCAAAGGGGCGACGTCAGACACGCGGCGTGCCCCAGATGGGATTTTGGGAACCGTGGCTTCACACCCTGCCCCGATCCCGGCCGTGGGGGTGAGGAAGGGAGCAAGGCTCCCAGAGGATCCCCGCGCCAGGCGGAAGCTGGAAGGATGCACAGAATCRCAGAAAACCCCGGGAGTGTCGCTTCATGATGTGTTCCAGAACGTGCTGCAGGCCCTCGGCTCCATGCTGGACTCCCTGTGCCACAAATTCGAGGTCCAGGGGAYCTCCCAAGGGAAGAGCATCTGGCCCATCGTTATCCAGATTGACAACCTGACACAGGTCCCAAAGTCCTGACTCCCGGGTAAAACTGGGATTGGATTCCCTGAGGCACAACACCCAATCGCCCTCAGTCCTGGAGGAGAAATGCTGCGGAGGCAGATGGGGGGGTTAAACTGGGATTGTGGGGTTTGATGAACTGGAATAGACTGACAAACTTTGGAGAAAAGCAGTGGAAAAAGGGTAGGATCAGTGTGCCTCAGAGGAGGAAAGTGAACAAGCGCCCCATAAATACTGTAATGCTTTGGGTTGGAAGGGATCTTAACAGCCATCCTTAAACACCAGCCAGGGGTCGGGCTCTGCTCTCTGGGAACCAGGGATGAGAGGAAATGGCCTCAAGCTGAGGTTTAGGTTGAATACTGGGAAAATTCCTTCCCCAAACGGGCTGTCCAGGGCAGGTGTGAAGTCCCCATCCCTGGAGAGATTTAAAAGTCATGTGGATGTGGCACTTGGGGGCACAGCTCAGTGGTGGCCTTGGACTCGGGGATCTCTGAGGGCTTTGCCAACATCAACAATTCCATGATTCTGCAATTCCTTTAAGAACAGTCCTGCCCGCGAATGGTGAAACGGGAATTTAAAGCAAATAAAACCAGTGAAGTATCTCTGAAGCCGCTTTATTCCAGTTCCATGTGTGGTTTGAAGGTCGGGGTGGGATCCCGTGCCGTCCCGTCCCCTGCCCCCCGCGCCCTTTCCCCGGGACGGCCCRGCCGCAATGGGCGCGGAAGCGGCAGGGCCGTCACCCAATAGCAGAGCGATCCGCGGGTCACGTGCGGCGCTCGGCCAATCACAGCGCCCGCCGCGCGGCCCGCATGCTGTGAGGCCTCCCAACATGGCGCCGTCCAGTGAGCGCGGGCTGTGCGCTATTTCCGGGTCAAGGCGCGCGATGACGATGGGGGCGCGGCGTAACACGGGCGCGTGCGCGTTTCCGGGCGCGGCCACGCCCCCTCCGCGGCGGTCTCCATGGGAACCGGGGCGGGGCCGTTGCCATGGGAACCAGGGACGCTCCCGCCSCTTCCGCCGGAGCTCGGAACGGGGACACGGAGGGACCGGAGCGAGCACAGGGGAGAGAGAACACGGAGCTGCTCCCACGGCTGGAGCCCCTCTGCTCCGGAGCCAGGCTGGGAGAGATGGGGGGGCTCACCTGGAGAAGGGAAGGATCCAGGGAGAGCTCAGAGCCCCTTGCAGGGCCTGAAGGGGCTCCAGGAGAGCTGGAGAGGGACTGGAGAAAGGGATGGAGGGACAGGACACAGGGAATAGCTTCCCACTGCCAGAGGGCAGGGATGGATGGGATATTGGGAAGGAATTGTTCCCTGGGCAGGCTCTGGCACAGAGAAGCTGTGCATGATGGACCTGCCTTGCCTGCCCTTGCCGTCCCAGAATCCCAGACTCGTTTGGGTCAGGACTTTAAGCCCCATCCAGTCCCACCCCCTGCCCYAGTCCAGGAACCTTCCCCTGCCGAGGTCGGATCAGAGTCTGGGTGTGGGAACAGCTCCAAGACAAACCTGAGTGTTCCGGAATGAGGAGGGACAGCACAATCCTGGGAAGGCAAATAAACCCGGAGTCAGATTTATGAAGAGGGAATTTCCCCAGATCAGGGTTCAGGGTTTGGTTTTTTGTGGGGGTGATTTACTCCCATTTCTGTCAGAGGTGGGAAATGCCCTGGGAATCACAACTTCCTGATGAAAACTCACTTAATTTTACCTTTTTTATTCCCAAAATGSCCTTGAAGGATTTTGTGGCTGTTTGGAGCCTGCTCAGGGCTGGTACAGGCACCTGAAATTAAAATTTAAATGTATTACATTTATTTTGAAACTTTCTCTTGCTCTTGAATCCTAAGCAGGATTTGTGRGGAAAATGGGAATAACTGAGGAATTTGTAAGGAGTGGGAGGAATTTGGCAGGAATTGTGAAGGAATTGAAGAATTTGGAGGGAATTTGAGAAGGAATGKAGAAGAATTTGAATGGAATTGTACATTTTAAATGGAATATGGGAGAAACRGGGAAGAATTTGGAAGAAATTTGAAGGAATTCAGAATTTTGAGGGAATTTGTAAGGAATGGGGAACAATTTGGAAGGCAACTGGGAAAGGAAAGGAGTGACAACTCCTTCTGGAGGGAAGTAGAGACAACTGGAAATTTTTCTCTRATGGAGGAGACAAGGGAAAATGGGCACTGGGAGATGTTTTGTCTCCACTGAGGTTGTACAGAGAGACCAGACAATCCCTGGGAATGTGCTGGAATCTCCATCCCCAGAGGTTCTTGAGGTGAACCTGGATGTAGTGCAGGATAATCCCACCTGGGTCCCTTTCGCACGGAAAGTTGGACCTGGAACATTCTGGGGTCAGGCGGGGTTGTGCTGTGGGGCCGTGACCGACACTGTCCCTCCCTGGGGATTTCCAGGTGCTACTCCGGGTGTCTGTCCCCGTGTGATTTACGAGGATGTTTTCCATGGCCCCTGCTGGTCCCAGCTCCAAACSTGCGGAGGGTCATCCTCAGGGCAGGGTCCTGGGTGTCCTCTGGAGCTCCTGCTCTGCTGGGGAGGGTGTTTGGTGAAASGCTCCCTGTTTGCAGAGAGGGACAGGCCATAAATCACCCCCGGGCTGGAAAACCCCATCTGGCTTCAGAGAATCAAGGAACTGTTGAGGGAAAAGTCCTCTGAGTTCATCGAGCCCAGCACTGCCAAGGCCACCATTGCCCCGTGTCCCCAAGTGCCACATCCACAGGGCTGTTAAATCCCTCCAGGGATGGGGACTCTGYCCCTGCCCTTGGCAGCCCTTCCCAGGAGGAATATTCCAAATATCCAACCTGACTCACCCCTGGCACAGCTTGAGGCCGTTTCCTCTCCTCCTGTCCCTGKTCCCTGGGAGCAGAACCTGGCCCTTACCTGGCTCTGACCTTTCATYCCCACCACGCTCTGAACCATCCATGGCCATGTTGTGTCACCACTGTCACCTCTGTACTCGCTGTCACCCTCTGCTCACCCATTCCCTCCGCTAGGGACCCCCATGGCAGGGGGGCCCCAAACCCTGTCCTCTCCTGACCAAAGGTGACCAAAGGTGACCGACACCCCCGTCCCCACTGACCTGGAGCCCAGAGYGGGCTGGACTGGGCTCCCGGCCAGATTCATTCCCCCTGGAATGCCCCGGTATCCCAGCCCCTGGAACGCCCACGGCAGCTCCATAAAAGCGCTGCCGACCCGGTGGGAAGCAGGATCCGGGATCCAGGAGCCAGGATGGGGCTGTTCCGAGCGCTGCCACTGCCGCTGCTGCTGCTGCTGCTGCTGCTCCTGGGGCTGGCCGGAGCCTCCACGCCGGGGCCACACAGATCCACGACGGGACGGGAGGGACCCACGGTGGGATGGGACGGATCCACGGTGTCCTCGCTGGGAGTCCGGTCCGTGAGCTACGGGGATGCGGTGGCGGCGGCCGTGGAGCTGCTAAACGCCAGGGCCGTCAGTCCCCATGTGCTGCGGCTCCGGGAGGCTCAGCCCCGGCCCGGCTGGGTGAGTGTGGAGCTGCCCCTGCCCAGGAGAACCTCCGGCATCGGGCAGTGCCGGTCCGGCCCTTCTCAGCGCGGATCGGCCCCGGTTCGGGTCTGACCCGCACGGGGCTGAGCCCGACCCGTCCCAGGCTGGGTGCGGCCCCTTTTGGGGCTGGGTCCGGCCCGCTGTGGGGCCGAGCGCCGGGGGCGGAGGGTCCCTGACGGGTCCTGTCCCCTGTGCCAGCCCTCGGACCTGCAGAGCCGGCGGGAGCTGAGCTTCACCCTGGAGGAAACCACGTGCCGGACACCGGGAATGGACAGCGGCAACTGCAAGAGCCGCTGGCTCGGGGTGAGGCTCCGTCCCATGGGGAACCGGCAACTGGCCGGTGGGGAAACTGAGGCACGGCGGGGCTGGGCTCCCCCGTGTCCCCTCCGTGTCCCCACAGGCGGTGACCTGGTGCCAGGGCTTCATTTTCCTGGAGCAGCAGCAGCCCACGGTGGAGCTCTCCTGCCAGAAGACTCCGGCCGCGGTGAGAAGGGGCCGCAGGGGGGTCTCCCGGGTCCCCTCCTCGTGTCCCCAAAGCCTGACCCCGTTCTTTGTCCCCCCAGTTCAGCAGGATCCGGAAATCCAAGATCAAGGATTTCTTTGGSAAGATCAAGGAGCGTGTCCGGGGCTTCTTCCAATGCGGCCGYATTTGGATCCGGGACAAGCTCAACCTCAAGGCAGCCAAACCCTGAGAGGACACTGCTGTGTCCCCACCCTGGGTACCAACCCTGTGTCCCCACCCGGGTGCTTCACTGCCAATAAATGTCCCTGCATCACTCCCGGTGTCACCCTGCGTGTCCCTGTGACCCCCAAGCGTTCCTAAACCCCCCAAATCCCCCCATGCCCAGCCAAGAGGCTTTGAGGGCTGGGGACACCCTGGGGACATGACTCGGGGCACTCGCTGGGGCAGACCTGGGGTCCCCCCACCCCTTCAAGGAGAGGCAAAGGGACCCCCCTGAGGGCGCTGCCACCGCGGGGATCCCCGGCAGCYCCGCCCCAAATCCAGCTGCTTCCCGGCCCTGCCGTGTCGGTCCGTGCCGCTGTCACCACAAGGGGGACACGGGGACAGGGTGGGGAGGGCGCTGATGGCAGAGAGGCTCCGGGGGGAACAGGATCAGCTCCCCTAAAATGGGCACCATTGGCTGTCGGGGTCTCATCCTGGCACCGGCCTCGTGCGGGGACTTGGACTTGGATTGTCATCCCCTGTCCCCAGGACACCTTGAGGGTTCCCCAGGAGTCTGTGCCAGCTGTGGGATCCTCACAGGGGTGTGTGTGGGGTACAGACCCACAGGAATATTGGGGGKACAGGCGGGACACCCCCAGGGTGCTGCAGCCGTGACCCTGCTCCAGCCACCTTTGGGACACAGGGGTTCCTGGGACCCCCAACTCTGCACCCCGATGTCCCTGTCCCAACCCGGGTGTGTCATGGGGGTCCCCTCGGGACCTGAGACCCACCCCCCCAGTCCCTCCCTGGCAGCTCCTTGGGGGGCTTACGGTGTCCCCTGTGTCCCCTACCACCGTCCTTTGGTTTTGGGGGGACAAGATGCCGCGGGGACARCGACACCATGGGGACAATGACTCTGTGGAGACAGTGACTCTGCGGGGACACTGACACCGTGGCCATGATGGTGGGGGGGATATGAATGGCCCCCTTTTCCTGGGSGGTGGCGGCCCTGGGGGCTTCCCAGAGCAAACCCATCCCTGTCTCCAATCCCACCCGCATGCCATCGGGACCAAGCCCTCGGGGACGATGTGGGGGAAGAGCCCCGTGTCCCGCCCGTGCCTCAGTTTCCCCGTGTAAGAGACGCAGGAGGAGCCCGGTGCCCACGCGGCCACTCTCCGTGACCCTTTTATTGCTCAGCCGAAGCCCACGGAGCCCTTCACACGGACGTCGTACTTGATACGGGGCCGAAAGCGCCGGATCCGGCCCAGGAAGCGCCCGAAGCGGCCGCGCTGGATCAGAACCGGCTGCGGGAGGGAAGGGGGGGTCAGGGGGTGTGGGACCCTCCCCTTGGTAACACACCCGGACCCCACCTAGGACATCTCACCAGGGAYCCCACACCTGGGACACTTGGGACCCCATATCCAGAATACAACACTTGGGACCCCACTCGTGTCCCCACACCCAGACCCCACCCAGGAGGGGTCCCCACACCCGGACCCCACACCCAGCACCTGCCCGGTCACTGCACCCAGAGCCCCACCCAGGACCTGTGAGCTCCCCTGGAGCCATCAGGGTGTCCCTTTTGGGGGGGATGCGGGGCAGGGTGAGGGACCCTCACCCCACCCACGGGTGCCCCCGGCTCCCCCCACTCACGTCGGAGGAAGCGTCGGAGCAGCGCAGGTCGATCTCAGGGGAGCTCTCCAGAAGTTGCACCGGCCCCGAACACTCCTTGATGACCTGGGGGGACACGGGGACACGCGGGGGTCACCCTGAGGAGGGCACCGGGCCTCGCGTCCCCCCTTCCTCCCGCGCCTCCTCCTCCTCCTCCTCACCCCGTTCTCCTTGAAGTCGCAGTCGTCGGGRTTGAGGCGGGCGCTGGCCGCACAGTCCGTCTCCATCATGGTGAAGTTGAGTCCCCGCAGCGAGCTCAGCTCCACGCCCTGGGGACACGCGGGGGTGGCGGGGTCGCGAGTGGGAGGGGACGAAGAGGGGTCCGCAATTGGGGGGGTCACGAGTGGGGCGGCAAACACGGGAAGGGGGCTCAGAGCGGGTGGAGTGGGAGGTCTCGAGTGGGGGTGTCACTAGGAGGGGGTCACAGTGGGGTGGCAATGACTGGGGTGGGCTCAGGGTCATCCCCGAGTGGTCACGGCGTGGGGATTGTGAAGGGGTGTGAAGAGAGCGCCGGGAATGGCGGGGTCACGAGTGGGGTGACCCTCCCTGGGCTGGGCTTGGGGTCGGTGCAGCACGAGTGAGGCATCACGAGTGGTGGGGACAGGGATAGGGGCTCATGAGTGGGGGGTCACAAACAGGGGTCATGAGTGAGGGGAGGTTGTGAGTGGAATGGGTCACTCGTGGAGGGCACTCAGCAGGGTGGGCTTAGGGCTTGGACTTGAGCAGCCCAGATCGGGTGTCATGAGTGGGAGATCACAAATAGGATCATGAACAGGGGGTCCCGAGTGGGGGGCACTCACCAGAGCAGAGTCAGGGTCGGGCTGGGCAGCCCCAGTCAGGCACCACGAGTGGGGGGATCAGGTATGGGGGGTCTCGAGCAGGGTGGGGATGTCACCCGTAGGGGGTCCCGAGCAGGATGGGGATGTCACCCGTGGGGGGTCCCGAGCAGGATGGGGATGTCACCCGTGGGGTCCCGAGCAGGGTGGGGATGTCACCCGTGGGGTCCCGAGCGGGGAGCACTCACCGGGGCGGGCTCGGGCTCTGCGCTGAGCAGCCTGAAGGCGTTCTGCACCTCGGGCCGCTGATTGTAGGAATCCACGGCCTGGGCCAGTGCCTGCGTGTAGGCGAGGGGCGCCGGGGCGGGGAGGGCGCAGGCCCCCCCCAGCACCGCCAGCACCAGCACCCACGCGCTCGGCATCGCTGTCCCCACGGCCACCCTCGGGCTCCTTTTATCCCCCACGAGAGGTTGGGGACCCGCCCCGGGCTCGGCTCCCYCCGCCCTTGGGCAATGTCCGGCCCCATCCCTCAGGGTGGCCGTTGTTTTGGGGGGACACGCGGTGGGAGGATGTCCCCAGTTTGTCCCGGTGGATGGGCGGTGGCATCTGGTCCCCTCGGGGTCCCCACCCTTGGGAGCCCCTTGGCTGGGCACGGGGGGATTTGGGGWCCAGGCCCCCTCGGGGTCCCAGGTGGGGCACAGGGGGACACGTTGTCAATGCCGGTTTGGTGTCCCCGGGGTTGCACAACCCCAAAGTTGCCCCATCGCTGTTGCCCAACGCCGCGGGTGCCCCCCGGATCCCCCAAACTGTCACCCCCACACACGCACACGTCCAACCCCCAAATCGCTTTATTCCAGCTCCACTGGGGACAAGGGGCGGCGGGATGGTCCCCGCAGGGACGCGCTGGGAGGGGGCCGGGGCCGCGGGGGGGACCCCGAGGATGAGGATGATGATGAGGAGGATGATGATGAGTGACCTGGGTTGGTGGCAAAGGCTTTTGGGGTGCCAGGGGAGCGGGGCTGGGCGCTGCCATCGGGCTGCTGCGGGAAGAAATGAAGGGGAGCTTCACTCCAGAGCCAAAAAACCTCTCCAAAGTGAAGGGGACCCCTGTCCCACCCCCGCGGATGAGCTCCCGGAGCTCTCACCAGCTCCCGGCCGCACTCCACCATTGACAGCGGCACGTCGGGCAGGAAGGTGAACACGGACACCTGGGCCGAGCAGCGCTGCACCTGGGGACAAAGCGGTCTCAGCACCCTGGGTACCCCCCCGTGTCCCTGGGTTTGGGGGTCCCACCCACGCTCACCCTGCCCGGGCGGCCCCGGCAGCTGCGGGGGTCCGGGGGGGGCCTGGGGCAGGGCGGCTGCCGGGCCGTGAAGTTGATGCTGAAGTGGGTCCCCCAGTCGAAGCTCTGCCGGGAGAGAAGCTCCGTGGGGATGGATCCCCAAGGGACGGGTGTCCGAGCTGGGAGCACCCCGCGCACCCCCAGCCCTTTTCCTACCGTCCTGGCGACTCCCAGCAGCCGGAGCAGCCGCAGCTCCTGCCCGTGCGTCTCCAGCACGGAGCGCGCCAGCTCTCGGGGTGCGGGCAGCGCCGGGGGCACGGCGGCGCCCGTCGCCAGCAGCACGGCTCCGAGCAGCAGCGCCATGGCAGCGCGGCACAGCCAGGGCATCCTCCGGCAGCTCGGCATCGGCCCCGGCATCGGCCCCCGGCTCCGGCTCCAGGATAAACAGCGGCCCCCGTGCGCGGGAAGGGATCGGGTTGCCGCTGTTTTCCTTGGCCCGGAGCCCTRGGGGGAACGCGCCTGGACCTGCAGGAGATGCGGCGATGCTGGAGCTCGGCAGGGCCGATCCCCCTTCCGTATGCCTGCTCCCGAATTTTCGGCCTGATGGTCCCGCTAAGGTCCTGCTCCTCCCGAGCCAGCATCCTCCTGGTTCCCAGAGAGAGAACGGGGAGCCCCCTCCCCTCTCCCAATTTCTTTATTTTGTTGTTTTTTTTTAATCCCTCTCACCTTGCTCAGATTCATCCAAATACCCCATCCCCAGGTTTTCCTCGGATTCATGTACATAGGGTTGACCAAGGACTGTGCAGGGTGGATCCCACTCTCCCAGGGTGAGCGKGTCTTGTTTCCCCAACATTCAGTATTTTCCTGTCCCCTTTGGAGCCAGGAGCTCCCCTTTCTCTTTGCTTCACCCACAATGGAAAAGCAAAGAAATTCCTGGGGAAGGAATCCCAGGAAGTGCATCTGGGAGATATCTGAGTTTCCCAGGATCACCGTGCCTGGGAGCAGCACTCTGGCAGCCCAGGGGCCATCGACAGCCCCGRTGTCAGGGAGCTGCTGCCCTTCCAAGGGTGTTTGATGCAATATTCCCATTCTTATGGACACAAGCCTCAGGTGGGAGATGGTGGGAGTATGAGGGATAATGGAACACCAGGAGAGCAGCTCATCAGAGCCTCCTCTGCCCATGGAGACCATCAGGATRGGTCCTGGAGAAGAGAAGCAGCTGTGGGCAACAACTTCTGATCCAAATATTCCTGTTTTTTTCTTTGTTTCCTTTTCCAAGTCTGAGCAGCACAGAAAGCCCAAAGGATTCCCACTCCTGGGAAGCCAGCAGTRGATAAATGTGGAAGAAATAGATATGTACTGATAGATCACATTTATAGCCAGATATGCTCATTATAGACCCTCAAATATACACAGTACCCCAATATAGACATCCACATGTACACCCAGAGTCAATCCCGAGGGATGCTGGGGAGCAGGAATGAAGAGGGGAATGGGGCTGGGGGAGACACCCCGCTCCTCCCAGCTCCAGGCCCCTTGGAATGCTGGGATGGGGCTGGACATTGGGGGAGATCCCCATTCCCTCACATTCCTGCTGCCTGTCCCTCCTGCCCGGAGGAGGTATGGCTGTGCCCAGGGTGGCACGGGAAGAGCCGGGCACGGAGAGCTCCAGAGGGATGGCGGATCACGGATCATGCAGGAGAAGGGCTGAAGGGCTGACACGGGGAAGATGCTGCTGGGCAGCTCTTTGGCTCTGCCAGCATTCCAAAGTTTCCTGGCACAAAACCCATGGCAAAGACCTTTCCCAGCAGAGCACGACACATTCATGACGTATTTTCCTTGCCTCTCCTAAAATACCACGGCCATTCTGCTCCAGCCACCTCTTAGGCTTGGAAAATACCTTGATATTTAATTTAAAGGACACCTGATAATCAGTTACCCATTTTGAAACTCTCGGGCTTTTGCTTGGAGTCGTTTACATCCATCCTTCTCCAAACCTTGCCCAAACGATCCTGGTTTAACCGACCWTTTCCTCTTCCTGCTTTCTCCATCCTGTGGCTCTTGTGGAGAAGTTTTCCACATCAAGTTGAGGAAAGCACGAAAAACTGGGGTGAGGGTTCTTGTGTAAGAAGCTCCTGGAAGTGGCAGTGCCGTGCTTGTCCCATTTGGAGATCCCACGTGTGACCAGGACCCCCCAAATCACTGCTGTCACCTCAGGGGGGGTTCAGGTGGTTTTGCTGCTCTCAGAAGGTACAGATGGATTTTCCAAGTCCTTAAAGTRGCTGTTTTTATGTCACAATGTAGCCTGTCCCTCTCCCCCAGCCCACAATAGCGCTTCCTGAAGACGCAACAGCAGGAAAACGGACGAGGGCCAGATGGATCCGCTCGGCCACGTCTCCAGGGGAGGCCGAGGGGTCTTTGCTCGCACATAAACTCACCTTATTTGACCTTTCAGGACCTTCAGCCCAAAAAGTTACAGGTGGGGATTACTCTGTCAAGTTTCTGTGTGTTTGGATCAAGCACCTGGAAATCCTGGAACGCTCGTCAAAGACGAGATCCCCCCGGAATCCCCCACGTCAGATGGTGAGCAGCGGCACACAGCCCACGCCCACCCCGCCCTCGTGGCACACCATGGGCGCCATGAACGTCCAGCGGTTRGTCTCGGGGTCGTACATCTCCACGGAGCTGAGGTTGGACTGGCCGTCGTAGCCGCCCACGGCGTASAGCCGGCCGCAGTTGGCCACGAGGGACACGCGGCTGCGCCGGCTGTTCATGGGCACGATCATGTACCACTGGTCGGCCATGGAGCTGTAGACCTCGGCGGCGCTCAGGAAGCCGGAGCCGTCGTAGCCGCCGCACACGAACATGCGGCTGCCCAGAGCGGCCGCGCCGTGCCGGCACCGCTTGTTGAGCATGGGCGACACCGCGTGCCAGCTGGACGTGTGGGGGTTGTAGTATTCCACCTGGGAGGAAGCACACAACTGTTAGGGAGGCAGCCTTGGGAATCGCACGGTGACAGTCCCTGCCTCTGCCAACACTGCTGGGGCATCTCCAAACYGGGGGAGTTTTGGGCTTATCATGACAACACATTGAGGGGCTTTCCAGGGAAGGGAACAGTGCTGGRGAAGGGGCTGGASCACCAGGAGCAGCTGAGGGAGCTGCTATGGGATTGTGCTTGGTTTGGGTTGGAACAGACCATAAAGCTCATCCCATTCCACCCCCTGCCATGGGCAGGTACACTTCCCACTATCCAGACTGCTCCAAGCCCCAGTGTCCAGCCTGGCCTTGGACACTCTCAGGGATTCAGGGACAGCCATAGCTTCTCTGGGCATCCTGTGCCAGGGCCTCGCCACCCTCCCAGCCAGGAATTCTTTCCCAATATCCCATCTATCCCTGCCCTCTGGCAGTGGAAAGCCATTCCCTGTGTCCTGTCCCTCCACCCCTTGTCCCCAGTCCCTCTCCAGCTCTCCTGGAGCCCCTTTACGCCCTGGAAGAGGTTCTAAGGTCTCCCTGGAGCCTTCTTTTCTCTCCCAGCCTGTCTCCATATCCAAGGGGCTCCAGCCCTCAAAACWCCTCCATGGCCCAAGTGGATAAATGAGTCACTTCTGTTCCACCTCAGTTTTTTGGTCATGGGTGGAAGCRACAGAATTTGGTGGCACAGCCACTCAGGACTGTTTGGGTGCACAGGGGAAGAACACAGAGCCTTCCAGCCCCACTCTGAGCTCAGTGGATGAACCCCTACCCCGGCCCCAGAGCCTTACACTGTTGAAGATCTGGAGCCCGTCGTGCCCTCCAGACACATAGATCCGGCCCTCAAACACGGTGACTCCGGCAGCGCTGCGGTTGGAGCTCATGGGGGTCACYGCTGTCCACCTGGGAGGGAGAGGGGAGAAATCAGCAGGACTCTCACAGATTATTCCATGTTTTTCTAGTTCTGAGTTCCACCTACTCTCTTTTCCCCATTCCTTATTCAAATCTCACAGCGCAGATGCCCAGTGGTGACAGGGCACGGAACACCAGAGGAGAAAACTCCTGGGAAAGCTTTGGGAGATGAAGAGCTCTTACTTGTTAGTTTCTGGAGAGTAGGACTCCACGGAGTTGAGGGACGAGTTTCCATCATATCCACCACACACGTAGATC